CTCCTGAAGATGCTTCTGCCTCTTCTGCCAAATTGACTCTCACCAACCAACTCCTCAGGGAAACGTGTAGACACAATATTCATTCTGTTTCAATCCCAGACTGTTCAAAAAACATCTGTTCAAAACTGCTCTGGCTTTGACGATTCCATGGTTTATTTATTTTTAATTTTTGCTATACTAAGATATTTTCTCCTTTCATCTTCTTAAAGAAAATGGTTTGCTCATCCATTCATCATCCATCCATCCATCCATCTATCCTTTCATTCATCATCCTTCAAAGTAGAAGCAGATTATGCACTTACAATTTTTTTGAGTGTAGTCCCTTCCATTTCAATTTGAGGACACCGCAGCCCAGAGCTATTAACTAGGGTGCATGAGTTCACAGAGGCATTTAGAAGCAGCAAAGGACAGCCAGTTCCCCAGACCCCAGTTTAGTCCTGGCTCATGCTGATTCTTCCAGAGAGAACGCTGGCAGGTCTGGGTGAGGTGGGTAGAGTCAGGAGGAAGGACAGAGTGAAGCACTTGGAAAAGAGCACCTGGTGGCCAGGGCAGGGGTGTGACCGAGACGGGCCGACAGACTGTGCGGAGAGCCACATTCACCAGGCACAGGATGAAACAAGCCTCCTTGGGCACGGCTGCTTCACGATGCCCTTGTTCAACATGCCAGAGGCACAGAAGACGGTACGCATCTGTGGAAAGTTTTCTCCGACACAGCACAGCACTGCGAAACCTCTGCCAAAGCAAGTCGTGCGAGAGCCATATGGCATTTCTTTCCGAAAGGACTCGCCAGCTCCTGGCCCTGAGACGTGTCTGCTACCCTCCTGCTGCCGCTGCTGAGGAACTCAGCACATGGAGCACTGGCACTGGGGAGGAGGTGGAACCTCCCGCTACACTGGAACAGTTGAAACGAAACACATAAGACTCGCTGCACAAGCAAAACTGGGGCTTAGGTTTCTAGTCAACAGTGTCTGCGAACAAACAGGACCTTTTCAGTCACACTGGTGTCAGCAATGAACCCTTACCACACACAGCAGCCAGCAGGACAGTCGGCTCGAGGATCACACTTTCTGTGTAGCCCATCTCCTTAGCAAAGGAAAAGACGAAAAGAGGACAAAGAGAAGGCCTATTTTGTCCTTTACAGCAAACGCTTACATAGTGCTGTCTACTGGTATGTGTCAGCTCCTGTCCCAAGAGCTTTACATGAATGAACTCACCTAATCCTTAGAGCATCTGTATAGGGAGCGACTATTATTAGCTCCTTCCTGCAGAGGAGGAGCTGGGCACAGAGAGGGGAAGTAACTTGCCTAAGGTCACAGAGCTAGAAGGGGGCAAAGGTGGACTATGGATCCAAAAGCTCAGGGTCTCAGACTGTCCTGTTAATGTCTGTGCTAACCTCCCTCTCACTAATCATGGAGAACGTAAGAAGTACCATCCATGCTGGATCAGACCCCCGTCCAGGATCCACCCACCCACTGGCCCACTGGGTGGCAAGCATTGAGCGCGGCTCTGCAGACAGGGTGGAGAGCAAGCACCGCTATGCCTCCAGCTTTGGTGGTGTGCTCCTCCAGGCAGGCGCTTCCAAGGCAGCCTCTTGGTCCCCCTCACCCACTCTCCGGACTGCGCCAGAGGAGGGCCATGTCTGTGCTGATGTTCAGGACTCGTTTCTGGAAGCCCAGAGATTTTATGTACTTAATTCTTTGTATGAAATCAGTCTCCTTAAAACAACGAGAGGGATATCTGCTTTCTGTATCTGAGCTGTGACTGACACTTTTTCCTAAAGGGCTAAAGGACGAAGTTAAACCAGAGGTGCCTCTAGTGTAAACAAAAGAAACAGGAGTGTCTGAGAGGCAGCTTGTTCAGGCTGCCCTGGGAGGGAGGGGCTGGCAGGGGCCCGGAGATCCAGGGAGAACCCAGATCTGCACTGCTGCTCAGAGCTGGACCGGAACCCAGGGCCAGACCAGGCCTAGAGCTCTTCCAGGTGTTTGGGGATGCCTGGACATCTCAGCTAGCTAGACAGAAAGCACACATTTTTCCTGGAGCCACAGGACTGAGGACCAGACTGGGAGGAGAAATGGACAGAAAGTTGCCCGGTCAAGACCTGTCTTTAAAACTAGACACAACTGGACTCTGACTCTGGTCTGAACATTTGTCCTTTTCTAATTACACGCACTTTGTGTCCCATCAAATCCTCTGATATGTAACAGAGATATGTGCCTTGCATACAAGATGCACCCAACAAATATGTAAGCACCTATTATGTGCAAGATACCACCACTCTAGTCACTAAGGGTATGGCAGTGAACAAACCAGATCAAAATCTGTCTGTGAGTTAAAGCTTCTTTAAATCTGAAAAGTATTAAAAAACCAAAATAGGTAAAATTTACCCATAATCACATCAAAATAGTTTTCTCTAGATATGTAAATACAAAGTAAGAAGTCATAGGCCCTCCTTGTCCATCCAACCCTTCCCATCCCTCACAAAGTACCCATTATAAATGTTCCCAAAAAACTTAAAGACTGACTAAATACACATACCCATATACTTTTTATCATTATTTTTTTAACCAAAATAAAATAATGCTTTATGGAATGATCTACAACATGTATTTTTTTTACCTAATAGATCATGCACCTCTGTTTTAGTTAGAATTTTCTGAGAAGCAGAGCCTGAGACATGGGTTCAAATATAGTCTCTGCTCAGGACACTTAGATCCATCCCATTCATTTTCATGGTTGCACAGCATTCCACTGTCTCTACATCATTATTTATTTAATCCCCTTGAGGTATACACACACATATTGGCCCCCCACCCCCACCCCATCCTCCGTACTTTGTCCCCATGTTCCATTCACTGGGGAAAACTCATTTTCCAGGGCTCTGAGGCCTGGAGAAATGAGAGTGTTGGCAGCAGGGAGATGAAGTCTAGGAAGCTTATCATTGTCCTTACCATGCCCCAGATTTATGGCAAATGAATAATTATGTGAAATTGGCCAAATCAGTCACCGTGATGATCATAACAGTGAAAAGACCTCATTAATTTAGTTGTTTGTTTTCCCTTTTGCCAACTATAGTAGCTACTTACATCTTGACAATCTTTGGTCTAAATTTCATCATATTTCACCAGTTCTATCATGTCTTGTGGAACTAGTCTATACCATAGTATTTAAAATTGCTATTTTTAAAATATATTTTTATTGATTTCAGAGAGGAAGGAAGAGGGAGAGAGAGATAGAAACATCCATGGTGAAAGAGAATCATGGATTGGCTGCCTCCTACAAGTCCCTCACTGGGGATCGAGCCCACAACCTGGACATGTGCCCTTGACTGGAATCGAACCTGGTACCTTTCAGTTCACAGGCCGATGCTCTATCCACTGAGCCAAACTGGCTAGGGCAAGATTGCTATTTCTTAATAGCAAAATGGCATATAATTAATTATCTGAGTGACTGCACCTGTATTTGTGGAAAAGATGTTTTAGATCACTGAATGAAGGATGGGAACTTGGGTTTCTAAGTTGAGTGTCAGTTTCTAAGGTCTTTTATATCTTGATGGGTGATTTCAGATGCCCGTCAGCACCATCAATCAATATTTCTATAGCCTTCCTGAGAACCACAGTACAGTAAGGGAGGAGATTTTGTATTGGTGGCAAAGTCCTGGCATCTGGCCCTGGTCACCTGTGTGCCTGTGGCAGGTCCCTTGGCCTTCCTAGATCAGGATAATGATATGTCTCTGGCTTACTTGTTGTGAGACTGAAAGGAAACACGGAAGGCAGGAGTGCTCTTTAAGTGTCAGCTGCTCTGTGAACATATGGGGGAGGAGTGTGGGTTTTGCTAGGCTGCAGTGGGTAACCTTTGCTCTCGTGTACATGCCTGCCTTATAGCCAGCATCCTGAAGTTGTCAGTCTTCACTAACAAAACATTCAATTCTTAGCAAATAGAGTGGGTTTCAGTGAAGATTTCATGGGAGATGGAGGAGAAGGTTCCTTCACACACACAAGCAAAGCTCAGTGACCTGTTCCATCAGAGACACCTGCTCTTCCTTGAAAGCTCATTGTGGCTACCAGGAGCATGGCTTCTGTCTCCTTCCTTATCCAACAGAGACTGCATCACCCTCAGGGCTCCTGTCTTCCTTCAATCCCGAAGCTTCCCTTTGGCTCTTTCTATGTCTCCTCCCTGCTGGGCTTTTACAGAGCAATTACTCCTTTATTCATGGATTCCTTACCATCTTCCTACTCACCAAACACTGCCCCTTTTCCTTAGAGAGCAGTGGGGGACTTTCAAGTAACAAATGCTTTTGCTATCACCAACTTTTTTTTCATTGCCATAATACTATTAGATAATTTTATTATTCTAATTGTTCGGAATGTTTATGGGACTGCTTAGATCCAGAAACTTGGGAACCACCAAAGGCCAGCCCCTCATCTGGCATCTGTAGTAAGGGAAGGAACTTGCCTAAGGTTACAGATGAAGGCTGTGACAGCAACTGTCCCAACCCAGCAACTGTCCCAACTCAGTGCTCACATCACTACATCAAGCCTGCTGTACAAATGCATCGGGATGGTTTTTTGTTTGTTTTTTAAAGGACATCAGGCTTGACGTTGCCTGTGTATTTATTTTTTTTAAATGTTTTATTAATTTTAGAGAGAGGAAGGAGTGGGAGAGAGAGATAGAAACATTAATGATGAGAATCATTGATCAGCTGCCTCCTGCATGCCCCCTACTGGGGATCGAGCCCACAACCCTGGCATGTGCCCTGATTGGGAACTGAACCGTGACCTCCTGGTTCATAGGTCGATGCTTAACCATGGAGCCACATCTGCCAGGCTTGGAATGCATTTAGATTCAGGGGAACCCAGAACTCTGAATGGGAAAGGGACTTGGAGTTCATCTAGAACAAATCCCTCATTTTAGAGAGGTTAACATGGAAATTTTTCTTATACTCTCTGAATCCTGAAAATGCCACACAGATTACATGGTTACTGTACAACATATGTACTTGCCTGGTGGGTATGGTTTCCAGGAACATATACAGACTTGAACTGCTTCATGAGACTCCGAGCCCCGGCAATATCCCGGAGTGATGTGAAGAGGGCATCCACGGCAGTTTTGGCTTGGTGGAATGTCAGGGTAATTGAAGAGTCGCAGCCTGAAATAACACAGAGACATTTTCTTGGGTGAACAAATATTTAAATTAAGTTTTAGTCATGGCAGCTTGAGCCCCATGTAACACAATTGGTGTGTTTTTTAAGCCCCATTTTCCCCCAGCGGTTCACTCAGTGGGTTGCTTCCATCACCCACGAGCAATGAAACGTTGAGTATAAATGCCTTTGACAGAAGCAGAACTCAGAAGTGCCTGGGACCGCAGCCGCTGGCTTCAAGCCCCAGACTGCAGACGTTTCACAGAGAGAAAGCTCCCCAGGGCCTACCGTCCTCAGAACACAGTCTGGGAAAACTGGAGGAGACACGGGAAAATACAAGAGTGCTGTGATGAACCTCGCTCGCTTGAACGTCACCAACCGTTTCCATAAGACAGGACAGCAAGACTGAGAAAGATGACAGAGTTCTCCGATAACAGAGCATGCTGGGATGGGCATCTTTCTCCTGTGCTAACAAAACAGATGGCGTATTTCAAACGGCAGCCATTCAAAGTCAATACAACCTATAGGGGGCCTAATAAAAAGACCCTGCTCAGCAACAACTCTATTTCTTTTAGAAACTCCTAATAGATGAATGCATTCTCTATCTTGTTAGAAGCCCATGCAGAAGAGGATGATTGTGGGTAAGTCAGAAGTTAAAAAAAATAGAGAAAGATTCGACGTGGGCATGTTTGACTCTCTTACTAGTAAATACCATGTTAACTCATTAATCCTCACATCGATCATATGAGATAGGAGCTGTTATCTCCCCCAGTGTAGGGATGAGGGTTAAGGAGCGCTCCTTTCAGCAGGCACTGCCAATGCTCTGCCTGTGCCCGTTCAGTCACACCACCTGTAGGTTTGGGGAACTGTTCCCATGCACCCTGACTGCTTCTTACCTCAAGTAGCTGATGTCTTTCTCTCTGTTTCTCTGTCTCTTCCTCTCTCTCTGTCTCTTTGTTTTTGTGTCTTCCTTCCTGTCTGACGGCTTTCTCCAATTGTGGGAGCATGTTTGGCCTCTCTGTGGAGCAGGCTGGGGAGTCAGCACTCATAGGAACAGCCCAGCTTGCTCATCCCGTGGGAGAGCAATTCTGCATTGTGGTCTCCACAGCCTTTCCAGGGGTCCCAGCAGGACTGAGTCCCAGTTGCCCAAAACTGCCACTCGCTCATTAAGGCCCCCGTTTTGGCTTTCCCTCCTTCCCTGTCTCACTTCCCTGCTTCCTGACTGCTTCCTGAGATACTTTTCCAAATGCAGTACTTGCACCCAACCCTGTCTCAGGGCCCCAGAGCTTCTGCAGCCACTTGAACACAGCAGCGTGGATCCACGGTATTCCTGGGTTCTTTTGGGGGAACAATTTTATTGAGATAGTACTCACATACAATACTATTAACCTGTTTAAAGTTTACAACTCAATAGCCATAAGTATATTCACATAGTTGTGTAGTTGTACAATCATCATCATCACAATCAATATTAGACCATTTTTATCACTCCAATAAGAAACTCCATGCCCATTTCCCTGTACCCCCGTCCATACTTCCTCTCTCATGGATTTACCTACCTCGGACATTTCATATACATGGAAGCATAAAACATGATCTTTTGTGATGGCTTCTTTCACCTAGCATAGTATTTTGGGGGTTCATCCTAGTTGTAGCATTTATTGGTACTTCATTGTGTTTTTTTATTGCTAATATTCATTGCATGGATATACCACATTTTATATATCCATTTATCAGTTGATGAACATTTGGGTTATTTTCACATTTTGGCTATTACGGATATGCTAGTTTTACATGTACAAGCTTGCGTGTGGACATACATTTTCAATTCTATTGGGTGTATATCTAGTAGAAGAATCGCTGAATCATCGAGAAACTCGGCATTTAGCCTTTGGGGGACTTGCCAGGCTGCTTCCCGAAGTGTCTGCCCCACTTTATATCCCCCTCGCAGGCAAGAGAGTTCTGATTTCCCTCAACAATGCTTCTTATCTGTCTTCAGGATTGTAGCTATCCCAATGGGTGTGAACTGAGGAGACACTGGTTGATTTTGATAAAGAGAGAAATCACTTTTAGGGAGTACAGCTAGATCCAAACAAGCTTAAACTAAAAAGGAGTGTTTGTAAAGTACATAGGAGCATCCACAGGAACCCAATGGCAGCAGACTCAGGGAGGAGGATGTGAGTAGCTGAGCCTCTCCTTGTAATTACTGTGGGCCACTGTATATAACTCTTACAGGGTGGGCATAATTAGGAACTGTTTTTACTCACATTTCTGACACCAAATGAATGTTTGTTCCTCCACACCAACTGATTCTCTAACTCTCCAGACACCAACTGAGGGCCCTACAATTCGGTTCAGTTCTGACACTGACCATGCAGCGTTAGTGCAGACGCCTCAGTTTAAGCTCAGTCCCACAAGGCCTGGAAATTGTGAATTATACATTGAAATTAAGCAAAGCCTACATGATTGCAAAGAGTTAGGTCACCTGTGGCATAGGCTGTTGGACAAAAATGTTTAGAGATTACTGGTAATGGACAAAATGAAACCAACCCAAAAATAAGACTGCCAAAGAAATTGTTGGAAGGAAAATAAAAAGTCCTAAATTTGCCAATAAAGTAATACTTTCCTGAAAAAGTCAATTACCAACTGTAGGAGGGCAACTTCTGCCCAAGCCATCAACCCTTTCCAGTGTGCCTGGCATCCTTAAAGCAAGGGGTTCTCAGACATACACACACACACACACACACACACACACACACACGTGCGTGTGCAGATAAGAGAGGACATGGCTTGTGCAAGATCACAGCCTTATCCCTAGCAAAGTCAGAGTTCAAAATGTCCCTTTGATCACAGACATGAGCTGCTCCATGCACAGTGCCTCCCCTATTCAGAATCTCCTCTGTGAATGTAGCTGCGGTTAATAGCGAAGAGATGATGTGGACGGAAAAGCTATGGAAGGGGATGAAGTCTTTTCTATGAAAATAGTGATCGTTATAATCACTTACGTTAGGAACTATTCTAAGAAGTTTATACATATTAGTTCATCTAGTCTCCTCAGAAACCCAGCAAGTTAGGAACCATTACTATTCCCATTTTGTGGATGGGGAAACTGAGCCAAAGAGAAGTTAAATAACACAGAGTCACCCAACTACTAAGTAGAAAAGCTAAGATTCAAACCCTCGCAGTCTAACTTGAGTTGGTCCTGTTAACCAACTGCTTTCTTTCTGCGGTGCTAAGACCATATATAGAAGATCAATAAAACACTCAATTCACTCTAAAGATGGAAGAAATGCTTTCAAAACGGAGTGAGTGCCTTCCTTCTTGGGAAGACCTGGGCTTGTCCCGGCGGTGGACACTCGCCGTGGGGTTGCAGCTGGACCCCAGGCTCGCCTTCTGAGCCACACAAGGCGTGAGGTCCCCTGGGCCTGCCTGGACACTCGCCTTTGGATCTCTGCTCCCAAAGGTGCTGTACTCCGTTACTTCCAATAAGCCCCTGACAGCCGGCCCCATTAAGCCAGCTTATGAGATAACAGTGTTTGGTAAGGGAGCTCTAAGTGCACAACTCCAGTCAATTCTCACTTAATCCACTGGTTACATAGAGAATAAACCAGAAGCTGACCCTAGACTTCAGCCAGGCATGGACTGTGTGCTCCAGGTGCCTACTTCTTGATAAGGGAGGCCCCCAATCCCTAGGGCACCCCTGTGTTCTTGTAAAATAGGGATGACTCATGCCCCTGCGATTTCTTTCTCTGCAGGGCTCAGGGATCTCCTGGGCAGGGGTCCAGTTACTCCTCGGAGCAACAAAATTTGGCTCCTGTGTCGGTGCCTGCCCTTGTCCCTTCCCTCTCACCCGTCTCCACTTACTGAGGTCCCTTCGCTCCTGCAGAGTGAGAATAGTGGTTTCCATGGTTTTGTGCACTGCAGGGACCCACACTTTCAGCAACAATGAAGCTAAGATGGAGAGAAGGCTGAACAGCTAAATGATCCTCCCGGATGGCTGAAATGAAGCTGGGATTCTTACTCGTCTGGTTCCGTAAGTTGGGTTGTAAGGAAAATAAAGCATCTCAGCTCAGGAGGCTGCTGTGTCCTGGGCCTTCGTCTGGATTGGAACTGAAGTAGCCATCATCTAAGGCAGTGGTTCTCAACCTTCTGGCCCTTTAAATACAGTTCCTCATGTTGTGACCCAACCATAAGATTATTTTCATTGCTACTTCATAACTGTAATGTTGCTACTGTTATGAATCGTAATGTAAATATCTGATATGCAGGATGGTCTTAGGCGACCCCTGTGAAAGGGTCGTCCGACCCCCAAAGGGGTTGCAACCCATAGGTTGAGAACCGCTGATAAGGCCTTCCAACACACATACACATGCACACACACACACACACATGTATGCACACATGCGCACGCACAAGCATGCATGCACACATACACACACAAAGTACACACACAGCGCGCACAAAAGGGCAGGACCAACATAAAGCATGCCACTTCTATGGCTGACTAAACTGAGGGCATGACTAAAATAGGATTTGAAATGTGTTCTCCTCATAGCTCTGAAGGTCCCTCCCATCTAACTGATAAGAATTAGGACCCAAAAATGTTTGAGCCTGGTCTAGAGGTCCTTCTGTCATCTGGACCCAAGTTACCCAAGGCTGGCCTCCTCATCCTTGGACTGGCCTGAGGTTGAAGACGCCAGGCCCATTTTCCAGTTTGCATGCTGCCTTCCTGCCTCTCAGGAACCCCCTGGTGGCAGGGCCCCACCTCCAGGGGCTCCTGGGGCAGTGAGAGAAAAGGTCAGCCTGGGAGTGGGACTTGGCCAGAAAGGGCAGAGCACCAGGAGGTCATGACCTCCCTCATCCATCCAGTTGTCTGACATCGCCTTTTCTCTCTTTTCAAACCATTGTTTCAAAGACAGAGTCTTTTCTCATGGTTCTCCATAAATTCTTGGTAAATAAAAACACACACACAAACAAAATAAAAAAAACAAATAAACCCCAGCAAGTG